ACTTGTATCTCATAATTATGAGATACTAAGTCATAATTATGAGATACTAAGTCATAATTATGAGATACTAAGATAGAAATGGGCTTCCATAAAAAAAAGCAAAGTGAATGCTATATACAAAAAATAAATTCAAAAAATCTGTGAACAATTAGCATTTCATGCAAATGAACTGTTTTATAATTTTTCAAACTTTATTCATTCCATAAAAACACAATTCTATGTACAATAAAAAAATACAAATAAAATGAAAGGAGGCAGAGAGAAAAAAAATCTTATATCTGCCTCTTTTTTCTCAAGTATAAGTTCTAACTATAATAAACTTCAGTTAATGTGGTTCATCTGTGTTTCAGATCCTCTCCTTTTAATTACATTGTGTTGAGATTGARAGAACACTTGAAAGTGAGTTTTGATGCTTCACGAGTTTAAAGCAGCTTAAAGTTCTTGTMTTTTCATTGTAAATTCATTAAACATGTCTGGTTCAATGTTTGGTACTCCACCCGTTTTTTTTTTTTTTTCAACCCTGGTCCTCAAGGCACACTGCCCTGCATGTTTTAGATGTTTCCCTGCTTCAACGCAGCTGATTTCAATTGATAACTAATTAGCAGGCTTTTGATGAACTGCGATCACCTGAACCAGGTGCCTCAAAGCAGGGAGAAATATAAAACTTGCATGGCAGTGTGGTCCAAATGACAACATGAACATTTAGTAAACATTGTAGAAACTTTATTTGTCAAATAATTACATATTTTGCAGCATCTCATTGTACATTCACACAAAGTGTTCAGTGGGTTCAAATAAAATTACAAAGTTTGTGGGTTTTTTAGGTTTATTTAAAAGTTGCTGTAATGCCTTACAGTACAACTAGGGCTGCACTCATTAATATAAAGGTTCCCAAATGTTTTGACCCACAAAATAACAGCAGCAGAAACTTCTGACTTCAATTATCTTTGTGCAAACATTTCAATAAGTCTAATTAAAGAAGGTTTAAATGATTACCTAGGTGACCTGAGCTACCATCAGTTTTATTTTTGTTTTAGAACATGTTTTATTCACATAACAATAACAGCAAAAAAAAATAAATCCTGTTACCAATCATTGTTTAACTTTGTTTTCAGAAATCACTTCAGCATCCCCAAACTTGATGTTTTAGAGACCCACAGCGGGGTCCAAACTGGGGTTCGAAAGTACTGTGCATGAGCACGTTTAAAAAAAAACACGTCTAAATCATGTATAAAACTGGATGTCAAGACTCTAATCACAATGGCATTATGAAAACAAAAAAGGCCAGGGGTCGGATTTATAAAAGATTGYGTGGAAACCATACTAAAAGTGAACGTACAGCCAAAAGGCGGAAACTGCGTATGCCAAAAAAATTTTTTTTTTCAGATTTATAAAACCATGCGTACGCACGTTTCTGCGCACCTTTCCTTTTTAGATCACAGATGCACGTCAGAGTTTGCACATGAGGTCCCACCTCAGGTTCTACCCTCTACACGCCCACACTCAACCATAAACAGTCAATGTAAAGTACCTCATGAATGTTAAGATATATTTAAATCAGTCAGCTGATCAGTGATTGGCTCAGACACGCTCCTTCGTGTGTCTGGAGGTTGACAGGTGCTGACAACTGCTCACGTGAACAGAATGTCTGTAATTGACAGATTTTCCCTCATTTTGCAGGTTTATAGACGTTTAGAGTAATCTAATGATTTTTATTAAAAAAAACTCAACTTCAAATTAATTTTCTCTCAGAGCCTGCAGGATGATAAAAACAACAAAAATAAAATTAAATGTCAGATAAAATTAGAAATAAGTCCACCGCTCTTCTCCCCGTCCTCTCCCGCTCCTGCCTGCTCTGTTATCTGCGGCAGACCCCAAACACGGACTTTAAAACGTGAAGTTTTTTAACATCCACCCTGGCGAGGGTGGGTGCGCCCAGCGCGTGTATCCAAAGCATGACTTTTGCTGTCCTGCTGTTGAAATGTCTCGTCAGGGAGGGGTCTGTGGGTCAGGGTCGTCTGAGGACGAAGGAGATGAATGGAGTTGCACGCAGGAACTTTTATTTAAGATTTTTTTATTTCAAAGGTCCTCATGGCTCAGCAGCAGAAGCATAAATTTTACTGTTAAGAAAGCTAAATAAATAATCTAAGTTTGATTATGAAGAGAAATTAAATCTCTGACAGTGATCATATGTGTGGCTCTAATTCTTCACGTCACCATCTGTGTCGCAGTTTCACGTCTCCAAAATGAGCGTACGCATGGGTCAGAGCTGGCGTGAGGCACCGCACATTTTCACGTCAAGTTTGGATTTTATAAATCACAACCTTGGCGTAAAAAGTGGCGTACGCAAGTTTCTGGACTCATATTATGCGTACGCCAGCTTTATAAATCCGACAGCAATTGTAAAACGATTGATGTTCTCTATAAAAAAACATTTCAGACCCATTACCAAGTATATCAGGATTATAACAATAAACTAGTGATTGTAGTAAAGTAGTTCTCTTTACGTCCACTTTGTGTCTGCGTGTTGAACTTTTACTGAAGGTCCTGGCTGTACACCACCCCCACCTGCCTGCGGATCTCATCCTCCAACTCTGCCAGGAGAAGAGAGTCAGCGTGCGACATGACTGCGCTCTCCTTCAGCCCTGCAAGGAAACACCCATCCAGTCAGCTTAGTCTGAGCACAGACACAACAGTAAACAGTGAAACGTTTGCTTTTGGTGCTCATTAGGTGTAGTATTCTACTCTGATGACATCACGTGTACACGACACATATCAACAATCTGAGTGCGACCTCACCTTTGAGCAGACACTGTCGCACCTCCTCTGCTTCATAACGCATCCCTGTGCCCTGAAGGAAGTTCAGAGGCAAACAGGGTTCTGGCACGGGGAACTGGGTCTCCTTCCCGTTCACTACCACTGATGTGGGGCACCACATTGGAGAAGGGACCTAAAGAATGATCAAATGGGGTAATATCACAACTAATGCGTCGCACACTTTTAATTTCCTGTATTTTTTCCGGCCCTCTGAGTTCATGTAAAGCTTCTTTACCCGGACTGTGCCCTTTGTTCCTGCAATAACAGCCTCGTTGGACAGCTGCACTCCGTTGGAGCAAGTGAACGTGGCCATTCTGTTCTTGGAAAACTTCAGAGAGACCACCACAGTCTCATCCACTCCTGCAACATCATACAGTTATAGGATTAGGATATTATAACAATAATAATAATGATAATAATAACAATCTTGCACAGTTTTTTCTTCAAACAAACCCTGTAAGTTGAGTAATGCAGTGTTAGAGACAGATAATGTTGGCTAAATGATTGAGTTAATGCATAATACATCATGTTAAGCTAGTTAACAAGTATACTAATACTGTTGTTACCTATATTACATCCCTTGCTGGTTAATGCATTGGATGAACCCAATGTTCTTTCATTTCTGTGCAGAGGTCGTCCTATTGATGTGCTTAGTGCTGGGTCACTTTCTTTGTTCATGACCATTAAATTAAATTATGTGGCTTATTGCTCTGCTGCCATGTCACTTCTATTTTGTGTGCTAAGTAATAATTTATTTATAGGAACTGTGTTTTACTGAACATTTCCTGTTCAGTGTTGCCATTTGGCATATTTAATGATGTGGCTACTTACCCCGTAGATCAAGGCTATTCAACTGGTGGCCCGTGGGCCACATCCGGCTCACGAGTGACCAAAATGCGGCCCGCCAATTGGTTCAATCATCTCTGAAGTCCAAACCCCTGGTTTTCTACTGAAACTACTATGAGTTCTTTTAGTTAAACATAGACATGTTTGGTATCTACAGAAACGTCAGGATCTTGGCTACAAGCTGGTAAAACCATTTCTATGAACATCCAACAGTTAAAACTACAAGCAGCTGAAGATAAAACTATGAAAGTGAAAATAAAATTGGTTTAAAAATTTGGCAAGTCAGAGATGTCAAAATAATATATGTGTTAAATAATGTGTTATTTCTGTTTTTGATATTATTTTATTTTCACTACTTTTATTACATAAGGTTCTGTCTGTTGTATTCATTATTAAATGCAGCAAAATAAATTATTTCAAATGTAACAGATCTTTGTAATACTTGGTTTATATACATAATGACTTTAATTGCTGGATGTTCGGCCCCTGAGCTGTTGGTCTGCATTAGCTGTGGCCTCTGAAGCAATTTAGTTGAACAGCCCTGCTGTAGATATTGGAGGGTAATTGTGTCAACTCAACCAGAGTCTAGCAGCTAAAACTTTAGGTTTTGTTAGTAAATAGTTTAGAGAACTAAAAGCCGGTTGTTACTGATTATTTGTGTTTCTAGCCACAAAAGTGAGGCGCGATTGAATGTGAGATGATAAATCACTTAATAGACCTCTGAAAAATGTGTCCCCCTCACTTCTGAGATGGTGATTACATCCTTGCACATAAGTGTATTTGTATGTTTCCAGCAGCTAAAAAAAGTTGTCTATTATCTATACTTTAGTTTGTGGGAACCCTTAAAGGCACAGTGTGTAGGATTTGTTGTTTTCAGCGACGTAGTGGTTGAGTGGTTGAATCATCCTCCCTGGTCC